ATGGCTCTGAGCCATCTATTCCCTTAGCCCTCAGCAGTAACGACTTTATGGGATTTTTCACAAGTAAAGTTCATTCTATTAGAAACAAAATCTTTAGCATCCTCCCTAATGCGATTTCTTCTTCCTCAGTAAGTGAGGCAGCATCTGAGGTAACTGTAGAACCTCATCTGTGTTTGAACCGTTTTGATCCAGTTGAACTTTCAGAGTTATCAAAAATATTAGCTTCATCTAAACCTTCAACTTGCATTTTAGATCCAATCCAAACCAAATTATTTAAAGAAGCATTTCCTTTGGTTGCTGCCCCCATTCTAGATGTAATCAATCTATCCTTAGTAAATGGGTATGTACCACAGGATTTTAAGGTTGCAGTAATCAAACCTTCACTTAAGAAGCCTTCTCTGGATTCAGATGACCCAATGAATTATAGACCAATATCTAAACTTCCATTTTTATCCAAAGTCCTGGAGAAAATAGTGGCCATCCAAGTATGTGAGCATTTAAACACTAATGATCTGTTTGAGGAACTTCAGTCTGGTTTTAGAGAGTATCACAGCACTGAAACTGCATTAGTGAGAGTTACAAATGATATTCTCATGGCCTCAGATAAGAATCTTGCGTCTGTTCTAGTCTTGTTAGATCTCAGTGCTGCCTTTGACACAGTTGTTCACAATGTTCTTTTAGGAAGACTTGAACATGTTGTAGGGATCAAAGGAACAGCGCTAGGCTAGTTTAAATCCTACCTGTCTGACAGATTTCATTTTGTAAATGTACATGACAAATCTTCTTCATACTCCAGGGTTACTTGCAGAGTACCACAGGATTCAGTGCTTGGACCAATTATTTTTACTATATATGTGCTCCCAATTGGTAAAATCATTAGACAGCGTGGGATAATCTTCCACGGTTATGCTGAAGATACTCAGTTATATCTATCCATTAATCCTGATTAACCTAATCAGTTGGGTAGATTACAGGCTTGTCTTGAAGACATAAAAAATTGGATGACTCCAAGCTTTTTGCTTCTAAATGTCAGGACTCAGGTATCTCCCGGCTGACCTTCGGACCACAACTCCCGACATGCTCCTCGTGGGGAGCTCCCAGCGTGCTCCTCGCGGGGAGTCCCTCCACGTCACAGCCAAGCAAGGCTATATATGGAAGACGCCGTGACCAGCTTCTCATCTCAGTCATCGTTTCTTCCTCACAGAGATACGACCAGAGAAATAATAAAACTGTTAAACGTCTCACCTTGTTTGTCTCCTTCATCCAGTCTGATCAGCCCGACACTAAATCAAGACAAGATTGAAGTTCTCATCTTTGGACCAGAAATCCAGAAAAGGAAATTGCTTAGTCAATCACCTGACCTGAATGGCATTACATTCATCTCCGAGAACAAAGTAAGGAGCCTTGGTGTTATCTTTGATCAGGGCATGTCATTCAAATCCCAGGTTTCACAAGTTTGTAGGATTTCCTTTTTCCACCTTCGGAATATTGCTAAGATTAGAAGCATCCTTTCCAGGAGTGATGCTGAAAAACTAGTTCATGCATTTATTACATCAAGACTAGATTACTGTAACTCATTACTCTCAGGAAGTCCACAGAATGTAGTTAAAAGTCTTCAGCTTGTCCAAAATTCTGCAACTAGAGTTCTGATGAGAATTAAAAAGAAAGATCATATCTCTCCTGTCTTGGCTTCCCTACATTTGCTGCCTGTTAAATTCAGAATAGATTTTAAGACCCTCCTTCTCACATATTGTTACATACGTATGCTCCTAACCGAGCACTTTGCTCTCAGACTGCAGGTTTACTGGTGGTTCCCAGAATAATTAAAAATAGGATGGGAGGCAGATCTTTTAGTTATCAGGCTCCTCTCCTGTGGAACCAACTCCCAGCTTTAGTCCATGAGACAGACACCTTGTCTACTTTTAAGACTAGGCTTAAAACATTTTTATTTGATAGGGCCTATGGTTAAAGTCTGATGTTAGCCCAGATCTGGAAAAGTGGGGGAGTAGAGGGAGGTGGAGTGTACAGTCGGTAAAGATGACTCTCCCTTGCCCTGCCTCCAACATGCCTCCATCTAACAGGCTAGGTTATCCAGAGTTATCTCTGTAGTTATGTTGATATAGGCTTACACTGCTGGAGGACATACTGACCACTTTCCACATTCGACTGCTTTCTTCTACTATCTGCTCTTTAACTGTATTATTTCCTGCAATTTCAGCTGTTAACTTTATTTTTCTCTAAGTGTTTTTCTCCCCAGAAGAAGCTACAATGATGTTCTGCTGAGCTGTGGTGGCCTCATGGAGGGGGCTATCATCTTGAACACTGTTGCTAACCACTTAATCATTCTCCCTCTCCTGATAACACTTTACTTTCTTTGACATTGAATGTGCTACTACTAGTTTACCCGTTTAATTATAGATTCACTAGGATAAATACAATAAAGTTTATCTCTCACCAAATAGAAACGTTACTTGGTGTGTGTGTGTGTGTGTGTGTGTGTGTGTGTGTGTGTGTGTGTGTGTGTGTGTGTGTGTGTGTGTGTGTGTGTGTGTGTGCGTGCGCGCACTCTGTCTTCTTGATCCTCAGCGAATTGGATGGCTGCTTATACTGAGCCAGGATCCTCTGGAGGTTTCTTCCTGTTAAAAGGGAATTTTACTCTCCACTGTCGCTGCACGCTTGCTTAGTATGAGGATTGCTGTAAAGTCAACGTCTAGTGTCAGTGACTCAATGCAATTTGCTGTGTTCCTTATATAGGACACGTTTTTCTGATTGGCTTAATGAATTGACCTGTATTGGAATATTTATTATATGAAGTGCCTTGAGACGACTCATGTCGTGATTTGGCGCTAAATAAAAAATAATAATAAAATAAAATAAAAGATGTAAATTGCACAGCTAAAACGAGACACCATCAAAAAGGGAGATGGAATAAAATTAGGCTTTGTGTAACTAAATCAGGCTGTTGTAGCCCCTTTGTAGAAAGTACTGGTTTTGAATCAGTGACTGAAAAAATAGCTGATTTGTTTTAATCAATACATTTCAAACGGCTTCAAGTGAATATTTCATATTTCTTGTTTTCAGTGACTTTAGTTTAATTTACAGTTAAATAACAAGTAAACAATAAAGAAGACCAGTTAGCATTAAAACATCTCTTCATCATCGCTAACATGGTTGTGGTGATGAGCCACATGCATGAGCACATTTACATCCTAGATCTGAGTTATTTTGCTCCTTCTGCCTGTCTCACTGTGATGGGAGCTTTAGGTTTCACAAACCGTGACCCCAGAGGGACGCCATCGCTTCAAGCTGCTGTAAGTCTCAGACTCGCTCGTTATACAATCTGCTTCATCCTCAGTAGGGTCTAGCAGTCAGGAACACCCTGGACAAGTCCCATCCATCAAAGAGGCACACGCAGGGGCAGAGTCACTAATTAACCCCACCCAGTCTTCTAACTAGAATATAGTAAATTGGTGGTGGATTTATTCGTGTGTTTTCTTTTTAATGTTGACTGAATGGAAAACAATAGACTAGATTTAATTCATTTTAACTGTAGTGTTTAATTATTGACACTAGATGGTGGTGTTGCTCCATATTTTGCTGCTTCTCTGAACTGCTGATTGGATCAACAGTTTGACTTTTAACAGCATAAATTAGGTTTAACCAAAATTTTAAACATGACTAAGCTGTTTGTGAGATGCTATTTTTCTTTTTAGGAGAGTAAATCTCAGAATCAAAAATGAATTTACAGACATAAGAATCATGAGAAAAGAGCTTACCTCAAAAGTAAGCATATACATAAAATTATCCATGTTTTTATTTTTAAATTGTTTTATTTGTACATTCTACCATCTGAAGCCCACTGAGACCACCTGGAGCGGTTTACGTCGTGGGCTGTCAGAAAGTCGAGGCCCGAACCAATCCAGGTGAGAAGGACGCAAAACCCTAATGCTGCTGGGATTTTACCACAAGAGCAGGTAAACAATGCATTGTTTACTGTTCTGTGCGACAAAGGCTTTCTGTTTGGCCAGATGACCTCACGATCACTGAAAAAAATCGGTGTCTCAAGCTTTGGTTTGAGCAAACTTCTGCTTAAACTTTGGTCAAACTATTCCTTTTTTATGAATTACAGAAAAAGATCAAGGAGGAGGTTTGAGGCAGTTTTACAATGACGAAGAAAACAACACAAAAATATTTTGTACGTTTTCGACTATAAAACACAAACGCTAAAACAATTTCTTTTATTGACCTATTGAGTAATGGGTTCATACATTTGTTTATGTTTGCATAACCCCTTTTCTCCTCATATTGGTCTTGGAGCAACTGGAACACATCTGTCTGGGATCATTGACAGTGGGACCTCGTGAGACTCAAAACAAGATGTGTTTGAGGTCCTAGCAGGAGTCTGGGTTCTGTGCCAACGTGAGATTACAGCTCGGAGCCTCTGAATGCTGCCTTTGTTTCCTCCACAGATCCACGTGGAGGCTTCAGTGGGACCTGCTTCTGCCTCCCGTAAAGAACATGACACCCAAAGGCTCCCAATACTGGACAAAGTAAAATAACTGGATGTGTAATGTATAAAGTGTTCTGGCCTTCTAACTGCCAGAACAGTCTTCAGCCATGATGATCAATGATGTTTCAAGGCTGCAGAAAATTAGTTATAATGGAGGATAATCATTCTAATTCATTGTTATTCGATGCATAACACTAAGAAAGTATGGTGACTTTATTTAAACACTTTATTTTTTCAATATTTATCATTTTTCTTTCTGTATTTGTCACTTTTCATTTCAAAGCGTGGACCGTCTTGCACTTAAAAAACAGCTTAAACCCCTTTTATTTAAAGCTGCCTTTACATAGATCTTTTGTTTTGTACTTTTAACTCACATTTGTAATCATCCTTCATTTGTTTTATGATTTAGTTTTTCTGATTTTAACCTGTTTTTGTTTAGAGATCATTATGATTTCATGACTTTATGATTTATTTTGTTAAAGCACTTTGTGATGCTATATCTGTGATGAGTTAGCCTAGTGAACTAGACCAAATTCTTGCTTTGCACAGAATAAATAATACATTTATTTAGTCTGGCTTGCCAGACTAGTGATGAGTGCTATATAAACAAAAAAATTCTTACATCATTACTGAAGATGCAGCTCCAACAAGACAATTTCTGCAAGAACGATGCGTAAACATCTTATTTTACAACACTATATAAACTATATAATAGCACAATGTTGCCTTCATCATTCTGGCTAACCGCTCATTAGTCCTTTAGGTGTGTAATTTTCGTGTAACTACGTGATTATATCTTACAACGGCTTGCCTTCGCACCGAATTACTGCAGTCCGCTGTGAACGTAACGGACCGCGGTGACGTCACGATCCGCTGCTTTTTGCTCCGTGGGCCTCGCTGTGATCGAGAGCGGACACATTTTACTCCACAAAGAAAAGAAAATCCCCCGAAAGCTTCCTCCCAGCATCACCTCGCTGCCGTGGGACACAGACGAAGCCAGCATGGGCAACTGTCAGGTGGGAGTAATGTCCGCCACTTTGGAGACGCACTTTTTCTTCTTTATTTTTATTTTTTTCAGCCAAATCTCATCTGTCATCAGTGTGGGTTTGGTCGGCAGGACTCAGGAGACTGTCGCATCGGGGAACCTGATGGGTTGGATGAGCTTGTTCAGATTTACTTTAAAAAGTCTGTTTCTTTAAGAGAAAAAAGCGACATCGGACTCCAGTCTAGGGAGATGGGGGTGGGTGGGAGTGGGGGAGGGTGCTTGTGCAGTTGTGCTTCTTTTTTTTCCCACACTTAAACTTTTTTGTCATTTAAGAAAAAAGGAAAAGCCAAACATGAACAACCCTACTTCTATCTGTGATCTTTTAACATCGCCCTGGATTTCCCTGATCTCTGACCTGCCCATTTCTTCACATCCACCGGACCCACTAGTTTTTTTTAAGTGACTTGACCCTGATTTCCTCAACCAAAGCCTCATGTCTCCCCATCCTGCCTCATCCACTCTTCTTTTAATCAGTGGTGCCCGTTGAAGTTAAATTGTGGGGCCCCGACACATATTTGGTCCTTGTGATAACTGGGATAGTTTAACTTGTAGAGATGCATTGCATGCCCCTACATTTTTTCCCTTAAACATCATGCAGCAAACACATTTACCTCAAGTTTGAGAAACGAGCATTACAGGGAAAAAATATTTGAATATTTTTTTCAGAATGTATTGTTCATTTTGCCTGTTACTGTCTTAGGGTTTGCAAAATTATTATAAATGCATTTATTAGCTTTTAATTAATGAATATGATTGTGTGGTTTGTGTGGCCAACTTTACATCACCGTCTCTCTGCAGCCAACAGTTTTTCCTTATGAGGACTTTGACGTGGTTGCAGACATCAAGGCCATCCGTAAAGCCTGCAAAGGGTTCGGTAGGTTAAATACGATCAAATGTTCCTGAGTGATTCCTATAAACTTGAGTCGTGAATTATTATTATTATTATTATTATTATTATTAATTTCAGGAACTGATGAGAAGGCCATTATTGACATCCTGGCCAACCGCAGCACCGCCCAGCGTCAGGAAATCAAACAGGCTTATTTTGAGAAGTACGACGACGTGAGTCTCACTCAACATGAAATTAAATATGTTGTCATTTGAAGCCTGCCTATGTTTTATAAGTTCGTCTACTTTTCTGGCTGCAGGAGCTGGTGGATAAGTTGAAGAGTGAACTTTCAGGGAATTTCGAGAAGGCCATTCTCGCCTTGCTCGACCCACCGGTCATCTACGCTGTGAAGGAGCTCAGGAAGGCCATGAAAGGACCGGGTACAGATGAGGACGTCCTGGTGGAAATCCTCTGCACCGCCACCAATGCTGTAGGCACCGACTTGTGTTTTTTTACAGCTACAATCCAGAAAGTTAGAAGTTAAAAGAGTGCGTCACATTTTATTGCGTTTATTGTGCCTACATTTGTTTTAACAGGACATTGCCATGTTCAAGGAGTGCTACTTTCAGGGTAGGTGGTGTTTTATTTCAGCAGCTTACTGACTGGACTTATTAGGATGGACCAACTGTATATGGAAGTATTTCCTGTGATTGCACCAGGAACTCTTGAGGAAATAACTAAGGGTGACTCATTTAGGCTGCGTTGTATTTTTGTTCCTAATCCTGGTCACACCTTGTTTAGTCAAGGCCCATTCTGCACCAATTTCCCCTCGACCATCGTACAAGTCCTACGCTGATTTTGTAGTGCTTAAATGTATTCATAATAAATGTATTATTTATTATTTATAAATGTACTAATGTATTTCGAGGCTGTTTAGTTCATGCGATGAAACACTTTGATGGACACTCTGCTTGTGGCCCTGGAGGACCAGGACTGGACAAACCTGGGAGGGTTATTAAATATGAGTGAACAGCAGGGCAGTCGTTTCCACGGTTCTAAACCTGCTAGTTAGATAATGATACGGATTTGCTCCAAAGACTCTGAATCTGTCCTGCTACAGGAACCGTGGTTGCTTTCAGGAAAAGGAGGAATGTTGTTTATTAAAGGTTTCCACACTATCGGTTATTATGAGCGTTCTAGGTTTGACCTGCTTCTGTTTGCTCACTGAAAGTCTCATTGGAACAATGGGTGCATTTATGACCCACATTTAAATCATTCATTATTTAGATATTTTATGCTAATCAAGCTAATTTTGGCGCTTTGTGAGCATACACTCATTTCTTTAAATGTGTTGTGGTCTCTAGAGAAAAAAAGCTCTGGCGTGGCTGTTTCAGGAAGCAGAAGTTAGTCGAAGAAGAAGGTAGAGGAAAACCGCAGGATTTGAAGTCTTGCTTATTATTTCTCATTAGTGATGTGTCGGTCGCGAACGAACCGGCTCTAAGAGCCGGCTCTATGAAGTGAACGACGGGAGCCGGCTCGTCATTGGGAGCCGTCACCCTCCCTCCCCTCCCCTCTCCCCTCTTGCTTTGGTGAAAGCATCAGGCGATTGGTCAAAATGTGTAACTGCGTGTCCAGACTGTCCACACACAGAGCAGTAGGGGCGGGGAAGAGGGAGGATCAGACTCAGATACACAGCAGAGCACATGCAGGCGGAGGGAGACGAGAGGGAATGAGGAGGAAAAAGGTGAGCGAGAGAAGAGAGTGTGACGAAGACGGTGAGAAAATGAGCGACAGCAGTCGGAAAGTTGAGATTTCTTAAATCCATATAAATGATAAATATTTGATATGTTGCATTTTTTTACATTAGTAAATCATTTTACATGTAGTTTTGCATTATTTTGGTGGTAAATATACTTTACGCAACAGAAAATCTGAGGAGCCACTTGGGAGCCGAAAGAGCCGGCTCTTTTTGGTGAGTTGAGCCAAAAGAACCGGCTCTCTAAAAAGAGCCGTAATTCCCATCACTATTTCTCATGACATGCTAACATCTCGGCTCTAATTAGCTAACATCAATGCAACTCTCAGCCGTTTCTGTTCTCTCTTCTTTTTTGGAGTAAACAGGGTATCCGCGGGTCCTTAAAAAGTCTTAAATTAGCTTTTCCTAATTCAAGGCCTTAAAAGTCCTTAAAAATGACAAATAATCCTTAAATCCAGTTTCTAAAGGTTTTAAATGACCAAAGACCCAATAAACAAGATTCTTTTGTTTCTATAAAAATTTCGTGAATTTCTTGTTAGTGTTCAGCATTTTTTGTGTATGATATTGGCGTAAGCGGAACCGTATGCAGTCAATTGGTTGTGAAAGGGGGCTATTTACCAGTTTAATGGTAACTGGATGGCTAATCCCACGTTCGCGACGTGGTTAGCACCGGCTCCAGGCAATAGCTGGAAATTATCGCTTAAATTTAATTTTTAAAATAGCTTAAATTTGGTCAAAGTGGCCTTAAAAAAGGTCTTAAAAAGTCTTAAATTTGGCTCCCTTAACCCTGCAGATACCCTGGGTAAAAATTCATCACTGATGTTGATCTCCACAAATAACTCAAGCCTGAACGTGTTCTGCCATATTGTGGAGTTGCTAATGCTAATGATTAGCTTCTACTAGCCGAAACGCGCCCCCTGTTCTCTCCTGGCCGCTAAATCAGAACAGGCTTCCGGGGCGCAAGCCAAGATGGGTGAGTCCATGAATGCTAATATTTACCTGTGATGTAGAAGTGACTGGCTTTTTCTGACCCAACCGTTCCCCTGACTATTTTATTTTGGCAGCTAATACAGGAAATGAGGGTTGTGTATTATCAATTTAATCAATTTCCCTCTGGGATTAATAAAGTATTTTTTGAATAGTATTTAATCGAATTGTGGTGGCTCGTTAAACTTCACTGAGTTTTAGCAGTTGTTTGGCAAAAGTTGGAACATTTGGCAAAAATATGATGTGACTTTTTCGGTTTGACAAAAAAAATTCCTGCATTCAAACAAAACTTCAGCCATGTTTTGTGACCTGCAGCAGAACATAATAAATACTATAAATTAGCACAAATCAGAAATTTGGCTAGTTGTCTGGGCAAGTTCAGATATTTTCACATTCACTATTTTTGAGTGTTTCTGATAAAACAGGCGGTGTTTATTCATCATACAAACTGACAATTCATCTTGTTTTGATCTGTTTTCAGTGCACGAACGTGATCTGGAGGCAGATGTAGAGGGAGACACGAGTGGGGAGGTTAGAAACCTTCTCACAGCTCTTCTGCAGGTGAGCAGCTCTTAAGTTTCCCCTGCACTCGTGTAACTAAACTCCTCCCATCAGCCCCCACTCTGAATCCGAGCTCACTCTCCCTTTAAACACACGCATCCTGGATGCTTTCCAGACGCCTGCTCATTAGCAAAACATCCATCAGCTAGACAGACACCTGACTGCCAAGCTGCTCTTCTTTCCAGGGAACCAGAGATGAAAGTTACGAGGTGGACGAGGATCTGGCTGAATCAGACGCCACCGCCCTGTTTGAGGTTTACACACATTCACGTTATAACCTCTAGTTACATTTATGCACCCTGAGACATAATGATATGTGCTCATCTCATGCAGGCTGGTGAGGGTCGCTTTGGGACTGATGAGTCTACTTTCAGTTACATCTTGGCCTCCAGAAATCACCTGCAGCTCCAGGCCATGTTCAAGATATACGAGCAGGTGTTTCAACACAGACCAGATGGATCCATTTACAGAATATGACACATCTCAGTTTCAGCTGCATTAATCAGTTTCTAACTATAAACCTAAAATGACATTAAAGTCTGAGTTATTTCCTCCCGAAGCTCTCTGGAACTGAAATCCTGGACGCTATTGAGAGCGAGACCTCCGGAACACTAAAAAAGTGCTACGTTGCTCTTGGTACGTTTAACAAGAAGAAGAAGTGTCCGAAGAGTCGTACCTGCAGTCAGTTCTGCCGTTAAATCCTACGTTTTCTTTCTGCCACAGTGAGAATTGCTAAAAACCCCCAGCTTTACTTCGCCCGTCGTCTCCATGATGCGATGGCAGGAGCAGGAACTGACGAGGACACGCTCATCCGGATCATCACGTGTCGCTGTGAGGTGAGTTTACTAAAGAAAATTTCATTCTAAATGTTCACGGTTATTTTCAGTTTGTGACAAACAACCGTTTTCAGATAGCCTGGCAAGCCAGACCAGTTAAATATATTATTATTCTGGCAACGCTCCATTGACGGTTCTTGGTCGTGGGGTGGGTTCTACCGTTGTCTTTCAAACAATCTCCGCATGCTACTGGACAACGAACAACGTGGCACGTAAACGAGGCAGTCCACTGTTGAAGAAGGCAAAAATACATCCTTTTTCTAAATAAATGACTTAAATACATCGATCTGCTGCTGATTCTAATAAGGCCCAAGTCCAAATAGTCCCAAATTGATGTAAAAGCCTTTTCTAATGAGCTGTCGCCATCTTGCTCAACTCCGTCGCAACATCCTGCCCAACAGACGAATAGAGAGCCCTGATTGGCCCACAAAGCCAATAGAGTGCTGTGATTGGCCTACAGTGGTGGACTGAATCAGACTGTCGGATTGAAACCCCAATAGAGATTGGGGCTGCGGAGGTTCCAGTGGAGTGTTCCTAGACCAAAGTTTGCAAAGCAAGAATTTGGCCTGGTTCACGAGGTATTTTAGGTATTTTATTAGTAAAAAAGTTTATGTTGTAATATTGTTGGTTTACAGTGAGTTTTTGCAAGTAAACACTGGCTGAGATAAAAAGTTCTCAAGTTCACGCGATACTGCAGAGCCGCGTCAGCCAACACAACCCTACAGCATCCAGAGCCTTAAAGAGCAAGTCACCCCCTACCAGTGTATTACTCCACTTACACTTCCTGCTTAAAAAATGCAACAAATGCTCTTGCCTAGCAGACGGAGAGGGCAGAGCCGCTAACAATACACACACACAGGCTCACAATGACATTGTGACATCACATGGTACCAGCTAACATTCTAGGGTACCTCTTAGCCAATAGCGATGGCAGATTTTAATTCAAATGCAGTGCAGAGTTTTTTCCTGACAGCGGCACAACTCTGACAGTTTTAGGCAGAAAATTCACATTTTAACTAAAATTCAATTAAGTGCAAAACTATTGACGACACGTGTCTGCAGCACGATTAGACACGCATTTATGTAGTTTATCAGAAAAAAGTTGATTTGGGGGTGACTTGCTCTTTAAGGAACTCCAGGCGGGTCTCATCCACCCCTGGAGCCTTGCCACCTAGGAGCTTTCTAACCACCTCAGTGACCTCAGCACCAGAGATTAGAGAGTCCAACCCAAAGTGCCAAAGCTCCTCTTCCTCACTGGAGGACGTGCTGGTGAGCTTGAGGAAGTCTTCCAAGTATTCTGCCCACCGTTCCACAACGTCCTGAGTCAGCAGCACACCTTCACCACTGTAAAGAGTACTGGTAGCTCACTGCTTTCCCTTCCTGAGGCGCTGGATGGTGGACCTGAATCTCCTCAAAGCCGTACGGAAGTCTTGCTCTATGCTCTCACCGAACTCCTCCCACCCCTGGGTTATGACTCTGACCACCAGAACTGCATTCCACTTGGACTGCCGGTACCAAAAGCCAGAAGCAAAGTCATGATTTTCTAAGTTATTATTACATGTGATATCCATATTACTGGGGTACCGCAGCTATTGTTAGGCTTGTGTTATAGAAGAAGTCCTTTAGTCCCGGAGGAACATTTGTGTCCAGAAGTAACGGATTCTGTGACGTAAGGCGCTGTTGAACACAAAAACGATTCAGAAACTCATTAAAAATCCACTTCATTATCAACCCCACAGATAAAAGCAGTTTGCTCAACAAATAGATAATTAAATGATGTTTTTTTTCTAACAGTTTGATTTGGAGACCATCAAAGACTTGTACCTGGAGAAGTACGACGTGTCTCTGAAGGACGCCATCAGAGATGAGTGCAGCGGGGACTTCAAGCGCCTCCTGCTGGCTCTCTGCCACTAGAAGCTGCAGCAGTTCTGCGTCTAACAAACTAACTCAGTCCTTGTAAGGCATTACGTAGGAGCAGGAGGGTGCTGAAGTGCAGGAGCTATTAACTTCTCATAAAGGGCCCATCGGTGTGTCATACTGTCTACAACAGTCATATTTTAGCAACAGTTCTCACAGATAAAACAGCTTTCTACATGTAAACAATGCCTTAGCCCCCACTGTAAAAGGCCTTTACTGTTGGAATGAATTTATTCAGCCTTTTCCTCCTCTGTGCCCTTAAAAGTGAAGAAACAACGCTCATCTGGGTCGTGGTGCTGGATAAAAGATTGCATAAAGAGGAACTAAATCCGCACACTTCAATCCGCAATAATATAATATTTCTTTTTCTCAAGCTTTCGATCAAAAGACCTTCATCAGGAATTGTGCATGCTCGTGCAGAGAGTTCCTAGTCAAGGAGAACAGCTGCTGTAAAACACCTGTGCTAATTCCACACAGCAAAGCATTATGGGGGATGGAGTCCCATTTACAAAACATAGTGCGCTGGCACAAGAAGCTCACAGAATGGCCGTGTTTGAGAGGAGCCAGTTCTGCGCAGATTAGACCAGCGGTGATCGGCACGCGGTGCATACCGGTTAGATTCGTGTCCGACTTGATGCCGACTTGCTCTGACGTCATGCATACGTAGGCAACGATAACCTCGTGAGATCATGGCGGCTGCAGATTTTGGAGCAAGTCGCTGCAGTTGCTCTCCACCGGCTGCAAAACCTAGAGCATGACGGGAAACGCCTGGCTCTCACCTATCTAATGGGCCATTCCCATCTGTACCGGGTCGGCCCGGGCCGGGTAGCGTAGGTTGTTTACATATCTGGGTGGGCTGGTATTTTTCCGGGCCAACCAAGGCTCATTCTCAGCCCTCTTCTCGAGGGGGTCTGCTTCAGGCCGACCAGGGCCAACACACCCACTGCTGACAGCAAATTCACACCTTCCATTAGAGCAAGCCTCTGATTGGTGGGTAGAATCAGCCCACATGGGCTTAAGGCAAGGTTGTGTGGAATCAACCGGGCCAGGCTGGGGCCGACTGGGGCTACCCGGCCCGGGCCGACCCGGTACAGATGGGAATGGCCCATAAGATCTGATTGGGTCACATTCTGATCCAAACATCCGGTGGTAGAACATGAAATGTTAGTTGGTCACATGTATTCTGTAAATCATGTAACGTTGATGATGACAACTATATAGGCCATAAAGAGGAATGTGATTTGTGTTCTTTTGTCACGTTTCCTATGAACACACTAAACCTACAGCTGATAACCTTTACTTATTATTACAGTCATGTCTTCATATACAATATATGATATCCACAAGCACGTGAGGATGTGTTTCGGCTGCTAACAGGCACCAGAATTAAAATAAAACATTAAACAAGTATGAACTCTAACGCGATATCTTCATCCGTCGTCACCCGCGAGCTACGCATGTAGGGAAATCTGTTCGACTCAAACGCCGGCTTTCAGCCACTCCCCCTGCTGCGTCCGTCTGCTCTCGTCTGTTTTCCAGGCGAGGCGCCGCTCTACTCGAACAGGCCAATCTTATAAAAACACTTCAAAATCATCTACCGAAGGAAGAGATGAACACATTGCAGGCATCAAGCTAAAAACGCCGTCATGGAGCAAGGCAATAATATATATAACAAATAACCCAACCATATATCTTTAGAGAAATAAAGACATTTCAAGATCCTAATTAAGACCAAATGGTTAAAGTGTATTTAAGGTGTAGATCCAGAATAGTTCGTTTTGACAAAGTTTTTTTTTATCTGTGTTGCCTCCTCTACTAATCTGGATCGACACTTTAACCATTTGGTCTTAATGAGGATTTTGAAATGTCTGTATTTCTCTAAATATATATGGTTGGGTTATTTGTAGGGATGTGAATCTCAGAGCAACTCACGATTTGATTCGATTCCGATTCTTGGGGTGCCGATTCGATTCAGAATCGATTCTCGATTCTCAATTTAAATCGATTCACAATCAGTATTAACAAAGAGCATCAGCTCCAGGATGAACTACTTTGTTGTACAAGTTAGTTAAAGCTATGGGACATTTTTATTTGATGTTAAACTGGTCATGC